CCAAAACACCGGCCAAAAACTACGAGATAAGAAACTCAAATTTCGGATACTCCAAACCAACACTAAACCAAATTCCAGATAAACTGGACCAAATTCCAGATGAACTGAACCAACCAAACCAAATTTCCACAAGATAATCCTCCTATGAGAATCCAAAACCACACAATGACCTTTTTTTTTTTTTTTCAATTACCGAGCCCAAATTTCTCTACCAGGACAAGGTTAACCACACTATTGCTGGCACATACAAGCACCAGTCCCACATCATAAAGAAACCCAACAAACACTAAATATCAGCCCAAAACTTTAAACCATAAATATAAAGGCCAATCCATATAATGGAGTCCAAACACCAATTCAAAATCAGAACCAAAGTCCATCACACAATATTTTCAGCCCAATGCCAAAAAACCGTAGGCCCAGACCAAAACATAACCCACTAACCATACAACCCTTCAAGCCCATTAGCCATACAAACACAACCCATAAACTGGCCCAATTACTTAAACCTAAATAACTCTACCCATACGTCTAACCTTATCCATAACCATAATCCGAACTCCACTGCCCGTCACCGGAAACCCACAATCGTCGTCGGTGCCTCTACGGACTTCAACCCAAACGGTCCAACTCCTTATCTTCTCCACGCCGTCCAACAAACCACCGCGACAGTCTTCCACTGCCACGCATCCGCTCTGCCACTCTAATAACCACCCGGCAGTCATCGTATCAGGCACATCCGCCGTCCCTGTCACCAATCGGCCCCCACCGCTACATCGCCGATCGTCGACCACCACGTCGGCATACTAGTACCCATCGAACTCAGCCACTTCCTCCACCAACAACTAAATCCACTCCGACATCCAAGCCCAATTACTGTCTTCACCCCATATTGCGGCACACTTCTAGGGTTCCAGTGATTTCCTTTGTGAGTTCTGTCCAACTCCCACAAACACCTGCACAAGCACCGCACTCTTTCTCTGTGGCTAATTACTCCCTCTGTATAATCGGAAAAATTCTCAAATACTCTTGAGACTTGATTCTACCTAACTGAAAAGAAAAGAAAATCGATTTGGGCCAAGTTGAATTCTGCAACAATGATGACTCAGAAAAGAAAATCAAAAGAAGAAAGACAAAATTGCTAGCCGGACGAGCGGCTCAAGGCCGCTCGCCGGGAATGAAATTCAAGATTAAAGTGTTTAAAATCGTAACAGCTCTGATACCATGTGAAAAAATATTATAAATTGTATATAATAAACTTGTTCCTATTACAAAGTAGAAGACCCTATTTATAGGGTTACAAATAACTGTAAAAGGGAA